AAGAGTTTGGGAATTTTCCTGCCTCTTAGATATTTTAGAATAGTTTGAGGACAATTGGGGTTGGATGCCTTACATTTCTTTTTCTTGTCTAATCAATGTAGCTAGAACTCCAGTACTATGTTGAGTACCTCTGATGAAAACAGATATTCTTGTCTTGTTCCTGCTCTCAGGGGGAGGCTTTTAGTTTTTGCCCATTGAATATGATGTCGGCTGTAGGTTTCATGTAGATGGCTTTTATTATGTTGAGGTATGATCCTGCTATTCCCCCTTTACTGAGCATTTTTATCATAAATGGCTGTGATACTTTATGAAATGCTTTTTCAGTGCCTACTGATGTAAGCATATGATTTCTGTCTTTCATTTTGTTTATGTGGTAATTACTTTAACTGATACACAAATATTACAACATTCTTACATTCCTGGCATGAATCCCATTTGAATATGGTGTATGACCTTTTTAATGTAGTGCTCGATGTGCTTTGCCAATATTTTGATGAGGATTTTAGCATGTATGTTCACCAGCAATATTGGACTGTAGTCTTTTTTCTTTGTTGTGTCTTTATCTGGTTTTTAAATTAGGATAATACTGGCCTCATAAAGAGTGTGGGAGTCTTTCCACTTTTTCAAATATTTTTGAAATAGTTTGAGAAGGATAGGACTTAGCTCTTTTGTAAATATTTGGTAAAACTGGCTGTGAAGCTATTTGGTCCTGGCCTTTTGTGTGCAGTTGATTGTTTTGTTTTGTTTTATTATTATTATTACTGCTTCAATTTCACTAGTTTTAATTGGTCTATTGAAGTCTTCTGCTTCTTCTTGATTTAGTTTTGGAAGATTGTATGTTTCTAGAAACTTGTCCATTTTGCCTACATTGTCAAATTTCTTGGCATACAATTGTTCACAGTAAATTCTTATCATCCTTTTCATTTCTGTAATATGGGCTGCAATTTCTCCTCTTTCATTTCTGATTTTATTTATTTGGGTCCTCTCTTTTTCTTCATGAGTCTGTTTAAAGGCTTTTTGATTTTATCTTTTCAAAAAACTAGCTCCTGAATTTACTGATCCTTTGAATGGTTCTTTTAGTCTCTATGTCATTTAATTCTTATCCAATCTTGGTTATTTCCTTCCTTCTACGAGCTCTGGGCTTTGTTGTTGTTCCTCCAGTTTTTGTATATGTAGAGTTAAGTCATTTATTTGAATTTTTTCTATCTTTTAGGCAAGCCTAGTGCTATGAACTTTCCTGTCAGGACTGTGTTTGCTGTGTCCCATAGGTTTTGGGTTATTGTGTTCATTTACATTTGTTTCCAGTAACTTTTTGTTTTCTTCCTGATCTCATTGTTTACACATTCATTGTTTAATAACATGTTATTCAGTCTCCATGGATTTGATTGTTTTTGAGTTTCTTCCTTGAGGTTAGTTTCTAGTTTCAAGCCATTGTGATCTGAGAAAGTGCTTGATATAATTTTCTGGAATTTGTTGAGGTCTGTTTTGTGTCCTATCATGTGGTCAATCTTCAAAACTTTCCATTTGCATTTGAAAAGAATGTGTATTTTTCTTCTTTCAGGTCAAAGATTCTGTGTATATCAGTTAAGTCCGTTCAATCTAGCATGCCACATGTTCTTGTTGATTCTTTGTTTGGAAGATGTCCATTGTTGACAGTGGGGTGTTAAAGTCCCCTACTGTAAGTGCATTGCTGTCAATATCTTTCTTGTGGTCCTCCAAGATTTTCCTTATATATTTGGGTGCCTCCATGTTGGATATATATATATATACATGTTTATAAGGGTTTTATCTTCTTGATGGATTGTTCCCTTAAGTATTACATAGTGACCTCCTTTGTCTCTTTTAATGATCTTTATTTTGAAATCTATTTTGTCTGATATATGTATTGCTACCCCAGCTTTTTTTTTAATGTCCATTTTGCTAGGAATGGTTGTTTCTATCCCTTCACTTTCAGTCTGTACAGATCTTTTGAGTTGGGTCGCTTGCAGACAACATATATGTGGATTTCTTTTTCTTATCCATTGAGTTGCCCTATGTCTTCATGTTCTTAAAACAGTTTCTTTAGCATCTCTTGCAATACTGGTTTGGTGAGGATATGTTCTTTTATCGTTTTTATGGGGTTTTTTGGGGGGAGGAGCTCCTCATTTTGCCTTCTTTTTAAAATGTGAGTCTTGCTGGGTAGACTTGTTGTTTGCAGGCCTTGACTTTCCATTACTTGTAATATTTCTTGCCATTCCCTTCTGGCTTTTATTATTTCTGTTCAGTGATCAGCTGATAGCCTCATTGGGGCTTCCTTGTATGTTACTAGCTGTTTCTTCCTTTAAGATTCTCTTTAAGTTTTGCCATTTTTAGTATGGTGTATCTTGGAGTGGGCCTCTTTGGATTCATCATGATTGGATTCATAAAGTCCTTCCTGGACTTGCGACTTTTTATCAAGTTAGGGAAATTTTGTGTCATTACTTTTTCAAACAGGTTTTCTATGTTTTGTTCCTCTTCTTCTCCTGGTACCTCTGTTATACAAATATGATGTTTCAGTTTGTCCTGCAGCTCCCTTAACACCTCTTTGTTCTTTTTGAGTCTGTTTTCATTTTGTTGCTCTACCTAGGAGTTTTTTTCTACTTTGTTCTCCAGCTCACTGATTCTATCCTCCACTTCATCTAGCCTGTTTTTGATTCCTTGTACTGTGTTCTTCAATTCAGAAATTGTATTCTACATTTCCTCCTGGCTATTATTAATAATTTCTATGTTCTTTTTCATACTGAAGTAGTTCAGTATAATCTCCTTGTAGCTTCCCTGGAGTTCTCTGTAGTTCTCACTGAGCTCACTGATCTTCCTTATAAGCATTATTTTTAATTCAATGTCTGACAGTTTACTTGCCTCTATTTCATTTAGCACTCTTTCTAGGGATTCTTCCTTTCCTTTCAATTGGGTATTGTTCCTTTGTCTCTCCATTTTAGTTGCCTTTCTTGTTTGTTTCTGCTCTTAGATTGATCTGATTTGACTCCATCTTAATGGTGTGAACTTCTACGGTACAAGACCCGCGGATTCAGTGGCACAGTCTTTTTGATCTCCTCAACCTAATGCTCTTGGGATGCCCTTTATGCCATTTATGTTGGCCTTCTAGTTGTAACTGGATTTTGATTGTTATTGTTGGGTCTCTTTGATTGGTCCTTCCCTCTGGCTGGGTGACTAAGAGTCATTCCAAATACCACGTCTTGTATGCTACCCACCTCTGATAATGTGAGATGGTGTCCCAGTCTGGCCTTAGGCAGCCTATTCTAGACTACCAGGAACCCACTGTGTATGGCTGACTCCTTCAGTTGTTAATCTAGTCCTTTACTGGCTGTGAGACCTCCTCCAAGTCACTTAACATTTGTGAGTCGCAGTTTTGTCATCTTTACTATTATCTTCACAGGAATGATATATTCCATAAAATAAGATAGGCAGGGCTGGGCACACAGTAGGAAAGCTGTTAAAGATTTCACCTACTCGGACTTACTCCCTCTGAGCCCCAGCAACACGGTAGCAGCTTGAAAGGCACCTGTCAATAATTGTTGATATTCTTCAACTACTGTTTCCTACCATTTTTTACATGTGTTTCCATAGATATTCTGAAAATGCTGACTTTGGTTAGATTTTCCAGAAAACAGACTCTGAGTCAGAGATTTGCATGCAGGTGGTTTACTGGAGAGTGCTCTCCAGAGCAATACTTCAGGAATCAGTGAGCTGCACAGGGCAGCAAACTGTCCACCTCGCTTTCTGCCCTGAGGATCAGAATACTCAGAGATTCAAGAACTGAAGCACTGAAGCTGCACAGGAACTAAGAAGCCAACACCTCCCTCTTTGGCTCTTACTCACATCCTCTCTAAGGCCCAGGTGAAGTCCAGGCTGCCACAACGAGATTCTTCATTCCCATTTTACAAAATGAGAAAATGGATATAGAAACGGTGAACGGCCATTGGCACCCTGTTACTAAGTAGTTGAGTTAAGGCATCTAGACTCAGGATAATAACAACAGCTAACATCTGCTGGTCTGAGCACTTCTTACACATTGACTCACTCAATCCGTGAGATAACCCTAAGAAGCAGGTACTATGCAGCATTCCATTTTACAGGTAAGTAAACTGAGGCAGAGCTGTTAAATACCTTTCCAAAATCACAGAATTACCAAATAGCATAGCAAGGATTCAAACTCAGGCAGTGTGGTTCCAGAATTTGCCCTATTACCCACCCTACATGTTGCCTCCCTACATGAGACTGCTGAGTATGCAAACTCACCTGTCTTCTAGGGGTCAAGCTAGTAATGCTCATAAGTGAATCATAAGTGAATTGAGACAGGAAGTACTGTGCAACCTGAATAGTGCATGTCCTGTTTAAATACAAGAATGTGGGCCTACAGTAATCAGGTAGAATTCAAGAGATCAGAAATCTGAGCTGATGTTAAAATTACCAATTTAATTTTTTTTTAATTTTTATTGATTTGAAAGAGAGAGAGAAGAGACCTGTTGTTATATTTACTTATGCATTCATTGGTTGATTTTTGTATGTGCCCTGACTGAGGACCAAACCCACAACTTTGGTGTATCAGGATGATGCTCTAACCAAATGAGCTACTCAGCCAGAGTTAGTAAATGAGCCATGTTTTTTGAAAGCACAAGTGTGCCGATTAAGAGTCCTATGGGCAATACTAAATCAGCAGAGTGGCCATGGATAGCCTCTACCTCCAAGTAAGACCTGTATCCTGTACTTCCCAGGGAGATGACTGCAGTTGGTAGGTACAGTGAGGCCTTGTCCCCAGACGGCCTGCATTTGCTGAGGCATCACAGCGAGAAAAGATCCCTTCAAAATAACCAGCCTGAGCCTGAGACAGGCTCCTGCGATCTCCACCAACACACTGCTGGCACTTTTCCTGGACACAATATGCAGCTAAACAATTAGTCAAAGAGTAGCCACTGAGATGGAGCTCTCTTGGCCCTGTGTTTGGCCAATGACCTGCTCACCTCCTCAAAGTCATCCAGCTCCTCCAGCCTGGTCCGAACTTTCTCTGACATTGTGGATATGGCAGGTACAGTTTTACCTAAACAAAACAGATTCATGTCACACAAATGGCTTTCCTCTGTCACCAATACCTCTAGAGGAAGGCATCTTTACTTCAGACTCCATCATGAATAAAGAGCCCAGGGAACAATTTCAATGAGAGATTTAGAAAGCAACATACTTCCATACCCACAATTCCATCAGAAACATTTCTGCTTAGAAGCTGCCCCTGGGAAATGAGAGGGCCGTCCTCAAAAAGGTTCTACTATATTCATTCAATATTTACAAACTTTCACTACATCATTTATTTATTCTTAAAGAAAGGCAGTCTAGAGAAGGATGCCAAAAATCTGCCATTTAATTGTTCTCCAAGAACAAGAGGCCCTTTCAGGCTGGTATTCAATGTAGAACTGTATCCACACACTAACAAAACAACAATCTCAGTGTCTGCCCACAGATGGAAACACCAGGGTTTCAATGCCCCCGCTTGGAGCAAACAGGACTAGCTGTGCCTTCATCCATCATCTATCAGCACAGTTCTTTCCATCAGCAGGGACAAATGGATAGAAATTAAGAAAAAAACTCTAGGCCATGAGACAGCCACAGGGCAAGGCTACCTATCCAGCAAGTTTGCTGTTTCTCTCTAGTAGCTCCTATTTCAGAATCTTTTCCCATTCTTTAGGGGGCATTTGTTCTAGATCTGAGGTTCCCTTGCTTCTGCCTACCAAACTCACTTCAGGAACTACAGTTAAGTCTTTTAAGGTACCAGTTTCTTACCTGTGGTGTTAGCTCAGATTTGTCTGGGATCAGCTTGAGAGCATGGTTACAATTAGTTAATTACTAACAACTACTCAAGTTAAGAAGTTTCCAAATAACTTGCTTCTTTTAACCTGCTTCTCCTTTCTCCTTCATTCTGAAGTATAATATATACAGAATGTACACACATGTACATTTTAATTTATATTACTAAGCCTCTGTGACCACCACTGAGTTCACTTATATTCACTGCTGTTTAGTTCATTATGTGCATATAACACAATTTTTTCTTACTCTATTGGCAGTGGATGTTTGTTTCCTATATGGGGTGACTCTGAACAACATGGCTATGATCATTTCTGTGCATGTCCCCTGGTTCATATACACATGCACTTCTTCAGAGCAGTGCTTCTCAAATTTTTACAGGAATCACTAAAGGATGTTTTAACAGGCAGATCCTAATTTTCAGTAGGTCTAGCAAGGCCCAAAACTCTGCCTTTCTAATGAACTCCCAGTCACCTGCTCCTCCTTGAACCACATTTTAAGAAATAGAGATGTGGGCAGAGTTAGAAAAACAGTTTCCATTAAGAGCCAGATATAAAATTTTAGGTTTTGTGAGTCATACTATCTCTGTTACAACTACTCAATTCTGCCAGCATAGCAAGAAAGCATCCATAGACAATATGCAAACAAACTAATAAAGCTGTGTTCCCATGAAACTTTGTTTATAAAACCAAAGAGTGGGCCAGATTTGGCCTGCAGGATGTAGTCTGCTGATTTCTGATAGTAGTAGAATTTCTGGGTCAAGGAGTTGCCCCATCTTCAATTTTAAGAGATAATGCAAAAGTACTTTACAGTGGGTATCAATCATTTTACACTCCCAATGACAGTGCATGAGGGTTCCTATTGCTCCACACTCTTCTCACAAGAGATATCATCAATCTTTTTACATTTCTAAACTGGTAGATATGCAATGCTGATTTCCTTCTTTATGGTTTAAGGTCAAAGTTATGCCCATAACAAAGGTGCTGCCACTTGATGATTTCCAATGTGCTGTCTCAAACTACAGAGAATGAGGAAGACTTGCAGTTGCCACACCAATTTACACAAACACCAAGGCCAAATCATCTGCACCCTGGTGGTACATGATCTGTCAGTTGCTCTACAACCATCTGGGAACTTAAAAAAAGGAAATTCCTGGGCTCACTCCTTAGGATTAATTCAAGAAGTACAGTGGGGACAGTGGTCTGTACTTGTATAGAAGGTCCTCAGATGGCCCTGTTGCACAGTCAATTTGAAAACCCCTGGTCCAGGGCTTCTAACTGTGCATCTTAGCAGAGGAAATTGAGAAGGGCTGGGTTCAGGGACCAGTGGCCAGTAGTGTGAGTGTGGAACTCCCCTCACCAGCATATCTGCATTTTTACAAAGGAGAAACTACTACTCTGTAATCCTAAATATCAAGTAGTAGGCTTATGTTTTACTCCATGTAACTCTGTGGGTTTTTTTTTTCCATTTATCTTCTAAATATATGTATATTACAATTCTACTAAGTCTACATATAACCTAGGAAATAAAAGCTTTAATTGAAGCAATCATCAGAATTGAGTAACAAAACCCTTTGTTTTCCTTTGTGAAATTATATTAAATGAGAAAATTCCCCATCAAAACAGTAACACAACAAAAACTCACCTTTTTCAGATCCCATAAACAGATTCTGCAGAGGCCAAAAAATAATTTGTTAATAATTTTTAAAACTTACTAGATTCTGTGAAAAAAAAAAAGAAACTTGTAAGATACTTAAATTAGTATTCAAGTAGCACTAAGGCAATATAACCTATCATTTTCCAGCAAAGCCATTTACTTTTCCAAATGAAAAATAGAAACAGTTACTCAAAGGATTAAAATATAGCTAAGTAGAAACTATTAATACTAAAAATTCAAATTTCTGTTCAATTCAGGACTCTAGAACTCGGCCAACAAATAGGAAAATTTTGAGGGTTACAGAGTCATGTGAATGCATTTAGCTTACTCTAAATCAGGGTGTCACAACCTCAGCACTACTGACATTATGGACTGGAAAAATCTGCTGTAAGGGTTGTCCTGTGCACTGTAGGATGTTTAGCTGCATCTCTGGTTTTCTCATAGTTGTGACAACCAAAAATGTCTCCAGACATTGCAGTATGTCCCTTGGGGGGTAAAATTGTTCCTGGTTATTAATCAATGTTCTAAATTAAATGAATGCATTCAGAAAATAAGAAAAATAATTTAATACTCCAACAATTATATCTGCCACACTGCTCTATAAGAACACACCATGAAAGAGAGAGGAGGGGATAAGCTCTGTGGAAGAACATTTCAAGTTGCCTGCCAAGTTCTCTCTTTCCTCCCTACTCACAGCCTAAATTTTGATGGACACACTGCCACATTTCCCAGCTTTCCTTGCATTGCATACAACCCATGGCTACCTCCCAGAAAAATGTAACTAGATATATTGAGGGGGACTCCAGGAAGACTCTAAATGAGAGAGGGTATATATATCCTACCTTCCCCTTTCCTCCTTTTAACAACTTGGACATGAGGTGACACTGAGCCCTTAACCTGTGGGATCTGTCACTATCTCCAGGTAGACAGTGCCAGAACTAAGTTGAATTGAGGAACCCCAGCTGGTATCAGAGAATTGCTTGGTTTGGGGAAAAAAAACCTCACAAGTTAAAATCAGTTGCAGAATCATAAAAACTAAAAGAAATTGCTACTAAATCTAATGTAGACTCTAGGAAAAAAGTCTAATGGCACTCACGATGGAGAGCTTTTCTGTGGTAGTATACCGGGCAAGGATTTCTCCTCGTTTGCTGGCCCAAGACTCAAAATCTGATTGTACAATGGAGTTATCATCTCCGTCACGTTTCTTTCTGGAACTGTCCTAAGAACAGGCAAGAAAATCCTTTCAGTAGCAGTTTCATTTTAATCTAAAACAAAATAGTATGACAGAAGAGGCAAAAACATACAGCAAACTGAGGATAATTTATTCAATAAATGGTGTTCAGAAGATTGGACAGATACGTGCAGAAAAATTAAAGTAGACCTTCTTATTATGCCACACACAAGAATAAACTCAAAATGGATTAAAAGCTTAAATGTTAAGATTCAAAGCCACAAAAATGCTAGAAGAAAACATATGCAGTAAAATTTTGGACATTTCTTGTAGCAGTATTTTTTCTGATATATCTCCTTGGACAAGAGAAACAAAAAATAAACAAACTGGACTACATCAGACTAAAAAGTTTTTGTACAGCAAAGGAAACCATCAACAAAATGAAAAAACAATGCACTAAATAGGAGAACACATTCATTGATAAGGGATTAATATCCAAAATTTGTAAGGAACTTATAAAACTCAACACCAAATATACCCAAACAATCCAGTTAAAAAATGGGCAAAGGACCTGAATAGACACTTCTCCTAAGAGGACATACAGATGGCCAATAGAAATACGAAAAGATACTCAATGTCACTAATCATCAAAGAAATGCAAATTAAAACCACTATGAGCTATCACCTCACATCTGTATGAATGAATGGCTGTCATTAGCAAATTAACAAATAACAGTGCTGGCCAGGATGTGGAGAAAGGGGAATCCTTCTGCACTCTTGGCGGAAATGCAGATTTGTGCAGCTACTGTGGAAAGCAGTATGGAGTTACCTCAAAAAATTAAAAATGGAACTGCCTTATGACCTAATGATTCCACTTCTGGCAATTTATCAAAAAAAAAAAAAAAAAACCTGAAACATTAATACAAAAGAATACATGCACTCTTATGTTCATTGCAGCATTGTTTACAATAGCCAGAATTTGGAAGCAGCCTAAGTGCCAATGAGTAGATGAGTGGATTAAAAACACAACTATGGGACATTTTCACAATGGAATACTACTAGGCCATAAAAAAAGAAAAAAATTTACCCTTTGTTACAGAATGGAATAACCTGGACAAGATTATGGTAAGTGAAATAAGCCAGTCAGGGAAAGATAAGCACCAGGTGCTTTTACTCATATGTGGAATCTAATGAACAAACTGAACTAACAAGCAAAACAGAGTGAGACTCACAGATAGAGAGCAGGCTGACAGCTCGGGGGAGGGGTTGGAAGGATAGAACAGAACAGAAAAAGAACTCAAAGGAACAACAGTGTGGTGATTGTAGCATAGTTGGAGGTGGAAGACAGTATGGGGGGATAAGTGGTTATGGGAAAAACAGATAATAAATAACAAACAAACAAATGAGTATAAGCAAACACAGTAACTACAGTCAATAATATGTTATTGTATTATTGAAATTTACTGAGAGTAGAACCTAAATATTCTTACAAAAAAAGGTAAATAGGTGATGTGATGGATTTGTTAAATAACCTGATGGGGGGGAAACCCTTTCACAATGTATATGTACATCAAATCATAACCTTGTATACTTTAAATAACTTATAATTTTATTCATTAATTTGTACCTCAAAGTTTCTAAAAAGTATAAGCAGAAGGCATCTCACTGTAGAATAAAATAGCTTTATCTAACGATTTGCTATGATAAAAACAATTTTAGGCTAATCTACAAATGGCCAATAAACATATCAAAATACAATAAAACTCATTAAGAATCCAGGAAAGGCCAACTAGACAAGATTGGTATTTAATAATCAGAATGGCAAAGAGTAATTATGACTAAAAATATCCGGGCTGGCAAGGGCGCAAAGAGATAGACACTCTAAAATATTGCAGGTGGGAATACAAGTTGGTGAAGACTTTTTGAGGAACAATTTGGCAGCTGACATCAAATCTTAACTACACATTGCCTTAACTCAGTAATGAACTTCTAAGAAGCTATCCTGCAGAATCTCTTGCGTATATGCACCAAGATGTATGTGTGTAAGTTCAAGGACGGAGGCACCACTGTCTATACTAGCAACCACTACAAACAGTCTGTGTACATCAGAAGAGTAATGGGGAATTAAACTGTATAGTGCCCATCTTTAGAATACAACACAGTCATTCAACATAAGAAGGCTATTCTAGAAGTACCAACATGAAGTTCTCCAAGACATATTGCCATGTTAAAAATAAAGTATAAATATAGTTCAAATTATGTTAAAAAAAAGTAAATAAATGTATGCAATGCCACCATAGAATGTGGGTTCTGAAGTCAGACTGGCTGGGTTGGAATTCCCATTTAGATGTGACTTAACATCTCTATTTCACCATGTGGGTGTGAGCCTCTTTAAATAAGGATTATAATACCCCTCTGACAAGGTGGTATGAGAACTAAACTTAGAATATAGAATACACTTAGAAAAGATCTCCCATACAGTAAGGTGATACCATTATTATTGTTGTTATTTATATAGGAGTACAATGTATGTAAATGCTGAGAAATTACTATCAATAAATATGTATGAAAATACAAAGAAAAGTTATAAAAGAATATATATTACACAGATTAACATTGATGACCTCCAGGGAAGTAAACAGAATAAGAAGAATTAATCAACAGGACTTCACCTGTAGTATTTGACTTTTTATATGAAAAATTAATTAAATTACCTATATAATTACATAAGAATAAATTAAAAAAGAATTACTAAAAGGGTAAAATGAAAATAAAGGGTACATTTTAAAATGGCTTAAAAAAGAAAGGAAAAATTTTCCAGCATCTGTGCCAGCCTCTCACTTGGCAGTGTCCCCGGCTGTAAGCTACACCCTGTGGATGTCTGAATTATGTGAATTGTTACAACTAGAATGCACCCATACTACTTAAAAACAAAAAGATGAAAACTCCCATCCCTGCACCCACAGGACCAAGCACCAGCTGGGCAACTGCCAGCAGGATGTGTTACCATGACAGCTGCTATGGCCGTGGGGTCAGCAGTAGCTGCGAACATAGAAAGGGGATCAGTCCCATCCAGTACACTGCTCAGTGGGTCCACCACTGAGCTGGAGGATGACGAGGATGTGGATGAAGTGCTTCCTTTCCGGCTCACTTTCTTCATCTTTGACTCTGTGACCTGTGGGGAACATTCATGGAGGTCAATGGAAGTCTCATCTGATTCTTACCAGTGAAACACTCTGAAGGGGTTTTCCCTCATTCTGTAAGTTGACTATTCCTTTGTGACAGGGACTCTTATTTTGTAATAAATTGACATGACTCAGAATCCAAGTGGTCAAGGAAGGAAAGGGGAAAGTTAAGATCAGGAAGGAAGAGACAGGGGCACTATGGTTAAAAGGTAGTAATGTAATACATTCTTGTACGGCCTTCATAGAGTGTAGTCCCTGGACAAGCAGCGGCCACATCACCTGGAAGCTTATAAAAGATGCAGACTCTCAAGCCCCACCCAGACCTATTGTATGAGAATTTGCATCTTATACCAATAGTCTAGGTAAAATAATAAACTACGACAAATAAGCTTCCAGGGTCATCACACTGTGAAGAGAGTGTCAATGGCTCAGCATAGTCATCTCGTCACTACAGACCAGTGAAAGCCAACTCCTTCCTTTCTGGAGAACTCCCAATGCCATGGATTAGTTTAAGTATTAAGGGCAGATGAGGGTGTTGGGACATGAAGCCATATTTTTGTTCCACTGATTCCCATCCCTCCCCAGCTTCAGGTAACTAGACCAGGGATAAAACTCGCAGCCAAGAGGATCCAACCATAGTCTCTGCTGAAAATAGGGGGCAACATCTAGCAGGGCTAGTCAGGCTGTACTCCTTTTTAATGAGGAAACTATGAAAACCCAGGGGACAGGGGCTGAGGAACAGTGATGAGACTTTGGACATGTATCCACAGGGAAACAGAGGTAACCAATGTTCAAGAGAGCAAGAAGGATGGTGGGAAACAGAATAAAGGCAAAAGTGCTAGATAAAAGAAAATTTGACTGGCCTAGTCCTTGGAGGGTCTGTCATTCATAAGCCCTACCCCTCAGGTGTGTAGGGGTGCAGACCTGAGTTTATGCTAATGAGATGATACATTATAGGGGCTGGTCAAGAAAAAAGCCAACCACTGTAATTATAGGGTGTGGCCTTGATGGCATCAGCCAGGTTTACATCAGCCTGACCTCAAGGTAGAGGTAGGGGTGATGGAGATAAAATTCAATCACATCGCCAAGGAATCAATCCATCATGCCTTTGCAGTGAAACTCCAATAAAAAGTCTGGACATCCTCTGGCATGTGTAGCTCAGTGGATTGAGCATAGGCCTGCAAACCAAAAGGTCACTGGTTCAATTCCCAGTCAGGGCATATGCCTGGGTTGTGAGCCAGGTCCCCAATAGGGGGTGCGTAAGAGGCAATGACACATTGATGTTTTTTTCTCCCTCTCTTTCTCCTTCCCTCCCCCCTTTCTAAAAAGAGAGAAATAAAATATTTTTAAAAAGAAGATTAAACACCAAAACTTGGTGGAGCTTCCTAGTTGGTAAATACATGATGGGCTGAGAGGTGTGATATACCAATTCCACAGGCAGAAGGCACAACAGCTCTGTGTTTAGAAACCACTTCCCAACCTCACCCTGTGTGTCTCTTAATTTGGCTGGTCCTTATTTATATCTTCATAATAAAACTGTAAGTATAAGTATAGTGCTTTTCTGAGCTCTGTGAGTTGTTCCAGCAAATTATCAAACCTGAAGGGAGGTCTCAGGAAACCCTTGAGTTTGTAGCCAGTTAGACAGAAGTTCAGGTGACCCAGGGACCTCCAAGTTTGTAGATAGTGTCTAAAATGAGAGCAGTCTTATTGAAGACCTTCCCATTAGGTTGTAGGGTCTGACACTAAACTGGGTGATTAGCCCAAGTACCTGTCATTGGTGTACATTTGTCAATTTGTTTGCCTGGTATCTAGTCATCTATCTCCCACGTTCAATAGTCCAAATTTTCTTTGGGAAAGTATCCCTCCCTTTCCCCTGACTCTTACCCAACAGGCCTGGTAAGGTGGACTCTGCTCCTGGTTCCCAGGGTATGTACTGGCCCCAACCCAATCAATAAGCATATTCTATACCCTGGTCACCAGGGCTGGTTCAGGGAAGGACAGGTAACCCACCTGGGTAAACAAGAACTGCTAAAGAAGAGGTCCTGCAATTGAATGTGCAGGAGCTTATACTGCTACTCGGTCACCATGTAGGGAGAGTTCCTAAGAATGGAACCAACTCACTGGCCACTTGAGCCCATGTAATTGGAGCCCAGGGGATATGTGGGACCCTGGGAGGCCAAAGGTAAGCCTTATAACTTCCTGCTTAATGTAATCATCACCTGTTTTCTCAGGTCCTCCACTAGAAGAAACTTTATGTCCTTTGTGTCTATTGGTATCAATCTGTCAACCTCATCTCCACCCATCATGACAACCACATAGCTTCAACCACTTGTCAATGAAAGAGTACAAACGTATAAGTGAAGGACCATCTGTGTCTCTTGCCTGCTTTTTGTTTTGTTTTTCAAGTATACTTACATATAGACTATGATGCTACTCAGGATAGCACCCTATACTGGTAATTATATTGATTTTTAGTATTCCAAATAGGCAAATTAAAAAGATATATTCTGCTTACACTTCCAAGTCAGATACAAACCATCCCATCACAACACTCTCATTGATATAAGAAAGGAGCAAATAAAAATGCTGGTGGGTGAGGCCAACACCACAAAAAAATAGGGAGGGAACAAACTGATTGATTTAAACATGCAAAAGAAGCTACTGTTGGCAAAATGGAAAAGACCTAGGAATACTGCCTTTGACAAAACTTACGGTTATGGGTTTTAATGGGTGATAGTCCCCAAACTCCAGTGGCACAGCCTCCAGGTGGTATGTTGCAGATTCTGCCTTGTAGTTCCTATTCCTGGAGTGCCTGATAAACAACAAAACCCAAAAATCAATTAGGTGATAGAGACACCTAACATTCTAGAAACTTGTTGTCGAGACTTCCTCAATGATGAAGTAGTCTGCAGAGGAACAGTATTCCTACTAAACCCAACCAGAAATGCTAAATTAAAAAAAAAAAAAAGAATTAAAAATCAGTTTGAAGATATAAGGAGCTGCCAAGGCACCAGAACCAAGGGAAGTGTACTGAGATGAAGCCAGCTTCCCCTGGCAGAGCACCCATGTATTCCTGACATGGACAAGAGGCTAGAAGCAGGCAGAGGGTAGCTGCTAGGACACAGAGCAGCCAAAAGGAAACTGTTTTAAGGAAACCTTACAGGACTAGAGAGGTAAACTAAGGTTTGGGGCTATTGAGACAGCCAGGACTTGAAGAAAGAGCTTCTGAAGAGAAGGGGTTACAGAGAAGGGAAAAATCCAGACCTGGTTTCCCCACAAAATATCTGTCAGTTAAGGAATGTATAGCAAAAGAAAGAAGCCAAGCAGAAAGTAGATGAAGAGCAGTTTTCATCAGTCTTGCAAGGGCTCAAAAAGTAAGGGTAACAGTGAAATGAACAATAAAAGGGGAGAGAGTATCCACATTGAAGGAGGAAGAGAACAAATACGGGAAGCACAGTATAGTATGGGAGACATAGGGACATAACAGCCTAACATACATACAACTAGAATGCAAAGAGGAAGCAAGAATAGGCAGAATCAATTTGTAAAAAGATGAGGTTGAAATTTTTCTCAAGCTAAAGAAAGAAATCAAGTTACTAATTTAAGAAACACCTCTACCCCAAGTGAGCCTCAAAACCAAAACAAAATAACCATACTTAGGGTTTTCACAGTAAGAGAGTGGGTTTCTTTTTCTTTTAAACATTTTACTTATTTATTAGACAGGGGAAGGAAAGGAGAAAGAGAGGGAGAGAAACATCAATGTGCTAAAGAAACATCAATCAGTTGCCTCTCGTATACCCCCAACCAGGGAACTGGCCTGCAACCCAGGCATGTGCCTTGACCAAGAATTGAATCAGCAACCTGAATTTCAGTGACAATGCCCAACCCACTGAGCCACACCAGTCAGGGTAAGAGAATTTCTTAAAAGGAAAAAAATACATTACTTTCAAAGGACAATATTATTATATCAGCACAGAGATGGGGGCCAGCTGACAAATGAACTGATACCTTTAAGGTATTAAAAGAAAGTAATCGCCAACCAAGAATTCTATACCCTGTGAAACTATCCTTCAAACATAATGGCAAAAGAAAAGTTTCCAGTCAAAGGAAAACCAAGAACACTGTCAGCAGCTGGACCACACTTTAAAACAATAAAATAAAAATAAAATAAAATAAAAGTATTTAAATATGGATGTGTGTGTATATACTTTCAACCATTTTTCAGAATGCGATATTATACACTTAAATACAACATCAAGGTTGAAGATAGTAAAAAGTTTAAAAAGAGAAGACGATACTACAATTTTGAAATGAACGCAGCATGAATAGGGATAATTTGTGACACCAAAACATTAAAGGAGAGATGATAAAGGTCTGAATTTGCAAAGGAGGTGGAGATAAAATATAAAAATATTAGAAATTGAATATTTATTTAATATGAATATAAAATAAGAAAAAGGACTACTGTATATATGACACTTTCTTTTGCATAAACCTAATGGTAACTGTGTATACATAAAAAATCCAGAACTGAGACAGAACACAAAAAAGGAGAAAACAGAGGAAAAAAATTATAGAATACCATCACATAAAAAAAAGAAACAATCCAAAAACAAAAACAGAAACACAAGGAAAAAGAAACAAAGGAGACACAGGGCTACCAGAAAATACAACATAAAATGGCTATAGGAAATTTTATATACCCAAAATGTAAATGGACTGAACTCACCAATAAAAGGTCAAAAAAATTTTTTAAAACCCCAACCAACCATATGCTGCTTTCAGGAGGTACACTTCAGCTGCAAGGAAAATAAATCCTCAAAATGAAAGAGTAGAAAACTATTCTCCAAACAAATTGCATCCAGAAAAAAAGGAGGTATAGCTGTACTTACATCTGACAAAATAGATTTTAAAATAAAAAGATAACAAGAGGCAAAGATGGATATTTTGTAGTGATAAAAGGGACAATACATCAAGAAGACAACATGTATTTGTGTATATATGCACCCAATTAGGGAGCACCAAAATATATAAAGCAACTACTAATAAAACTAAAAAGAAACTGACAAAAACACAATAGTAGGGGACCTAAATACCCCACTGACAGCTATGGATAGATCACCTAAAAAGAAAATTAATAAGGAAATACTGGCATTAAATGACACAATAAACTAATGGACATAATCAACATTTACAGAGCCTTTCATCCCAGAATACCATTTTTTTCTAGTGCACATGCAACATTCACAAAGACTGACCATATGCTGGGACACAAAACTAGCCTCTACAAATTTAAAGGTCAAAATCATATTAAGCATATTCTATGAACACAGTACTCAAAAATTGTAAATCAACTGCAAAGAAAAAGCAAAAAAAAAAATCACAAATGTGTGTGAAGATTAAACAACATGCTACTAAAAAATGACTGAATCAAAGAAGAAATAATAAGAGAGATCAAAAAATACATAAAACAAATGAGAATGACAATACAACATATCAAAACTCTGGGGGTGAAGCAAGAGCAGTGATAACAGGAAACATGGTATCATTACAAGCCTATCTCAAAAAAAGAAAAATCTCAAATAAACAACCTAACATTACATCTTAAAGAACTAAAACAAGAGAACAAATGCTGCTGAAGCCAGCAGAAGGAAAGAAATAATAAAAATCAGAGCAGAGTTAAAAAAAAAAAAAGAACAAAAATACAAAAAATAATGCAAAAAAAAGAGCTGGTTCTTTGAAAATATTAATAAAATTGACAAACCTCTGGCTAGACTTATTAAGGGAAAAGAGAAAAGATTCAAATAAACAAAATCAGAAATGAAAGAAGTTACAATGGACACCACAGAAATACAGAGGAAAACACAGTAATACCATGAAAGACTTTATGTCAGAAAGTGTATTACCTAGAAGAAATGGACAAGTTCTTCAGAATACATAACTTTCCTAGACTGAACCATAAAGAACTGGAAAATCTAAATAGACCTATCAACAGTGAGGAAATTGAAACAACCATCAAAAACATCCCCAAAAGTAAAAGTCCAGGACCAGATGACTTCACTAGTGAATTCTAACGAACATTCAAAAAAAGATCTACCGGTAGTACCTATCTTTCTCAAACCCTTACAAAAATACTGAAAAATAGGCAATACTTCCTAATATATTTTAAGGGGCCAACATTACATTAATACCAATACTGGTAAGGATAACATAAAAAAAGAAAATTACAGACCAATTATCTTTGATGAATATAGATTTAAAAAACCTAAATAAAATAGTAAATCAAATGCAATACATTAAAAAAAATAATGCCTCGTGATCAAGTGGGATTCATTACAGGGGCACAAGGATGGTTCAACATAATCATATGATCATATCAATAGATGTATAAGAAGCATGTGACAAGATACAACATCTATTCATGATTAAAACACTCAAATGAGCATGGAAGGGAGGTACTTCGATATAATGAAGGCCACATATGACAAACCCTCTGCTCATATCATACTCAAGGGTGAATAACTGAAAGCTTCTCCTCTAAGATCAGGAACAAGACAAGATGTCCACTCTTACCACTTCTATTCAACATAGTATTGGAAGTTTTAGCAAGAGCAATCAGGCAAGAGAAAGAAATAAAAGGCATCCAAACTGGGAAGGAAGAAGTTATGTGTCACATTTTGCAGATGACATGATTCTTCATATAGAAAATCCTGAAGACTTCCCTAACAATATATTTAAAACAATAAACAAATACAGTAAAGTTACAGGACATAAAATTAATGCACAAGATCCACTGTGTTCCTATATACTAACAATGACATTTCAGAAAAGGAAATTTTTAAAAAACTTTATTTTGCAATTGTGACAAAAAGAATAAAATAGCTAGGAATAAATTTAACAAAGGATGTGTGGGACCTATACATTAAAAACAAGAGTTTGTTTTTTTTAAATGAAGAATTGGAAAGATATTCCATGTTCATGAATTGGAAGAATTAATATAATTAAAATAGCCATATTACCCAACTCAATATATACATTTAATACAATTCCCATTAAAATTCCAATGGCACTTTTTAAAGAAATTTTTAAAAAATCAGATTTGTATGGACCCACAAGAGACCCTAAATAACCAAAGCAATCCTAAGAATAAAGAACACAACCAGGGGTATCACATTTCCTGACTTTAAATTATACTACAAAGTGACAATAACCAAAACAGCATGGTATTAGCAGGAAAAAAAAGACACACAGACCAATGGAATAGAATTGAGAGCCTGGAAGATTTTAAGATGGCGGTGAGATAGGTGGTAGCAGAGTCCACTTCCCCCTATGCACAGGTGGAACACCTAGCCGATCTTCTGAGGAACGGAGTGAACAGCCAATGGTATCCCAGTATATGTGAAGATTGGAGGCCAAAACTGTAGAGGACATTGAAAAATCAAATGGTAAGGAGAGTGTTTCAGGACAATAAGGTCCCTGGGACCAGCACAGGGACCAGGGCAGCTGTAGCCCCAGGCCCAGCATCCACCAGGTCTGCCACAGGATTCTTGGGAGAGAGCCAGGTCAATGGCTCCCTCCCCTGCCAAACAAGGTTTAATCAGCACCAGGATGGACCTGGATGCTTGAAGTCGCTGGGGGGAATAAGTACGAAGTGGCAAACACACAGTGGTGGTGTACACTCACTAAGACTGTGGATGCTGGCTGGGAAGAGTGGGACCAAGACATACCCTGATCCGGATACTCCCCCCGCCTGGTTGTAGAGTTAGGCTGTGTAAGAGGACAGGCACTTGTTGGGAGCAGCAGGCTTGAATAGGAGGAATTTTTCAAAAAGAAAAAGAGGCACTCAGTGGCTGTTTAAGGAACTCTTCCACAGCAGCCACTCCCACCTCCCCCAGCCATGCAGCCTCCACAGCCTCAGCCGTGGGCCCACCTGTGCTACCAGGACCTCGACTATGCCCCTACCACCTTCCATGGCAGCAGAGGAAGCCTAGCTGCAACCGCGACCCCAGTGGCCCGCAGCTGACCCAGCTGCCTCCCACCCCGCCATGGCTGCTGCATCAGCAACAGAAGCCAGCACACACCTTACACCACCACCCCACAAATGCACTCCCTCTGCAGCAGCAGAGGCAGAAAACTCATGCCTACAGCCCTGAGACGGCACACACCTGAACCAGGAGCCTAGTAGCTGCTAATCCCACCACAGCAGCATAGGCCAAGTGCTCAAGCCCATAGCTCCAGGGACAGAGCAAGCCTGACCCCGCCACCCAGGAGAAACTCCAGCTCAACCCCACTGCCACAGGGAACAGAAGCAGAAGAGGCATGGCACCCCTATCTCCAATAGAAACCATGTTAGGGACCCATCCCTGCAGGGCCAACTGGCTCTCTAAGAGAAAGGTGGAGATGCCCCAAAAGAGAAGAGCAGCAGGGCTCAGGGAGTCAGCAGTCCCCAGAAGACTTAACTCAGTGGGGGCGCTGAACTACCATGAAGACACTCTGAGAGTCCCTGGCGTCTAGGAGAGCAAAGAGCGAGAAGGTAGTGTGTGATGTGACCCTAATTGGTGCACCTTAAGGACAGTGCAACCAGTGGACTGGAGGTGTAGGCTGGGCACAGAAGGGCACTAGGGGCCCACCAGCAAACTGAGAAACTGGGCTGGAGTCTGAACAACTCCAAAGAGTGTGGCTCAGATCTAGCCCCCATCCCCGCAAAACCAAAGGAAGGCAGAAAAGCAAAACCAATCGCCCCTCAGCCTGTTGTAGCCAGGAAGACCAGCACAACTGACTTAGATTGTGTAAAGCCAGCAGGAGGCCTGTTTTTTTTTTTTTTAATTCCCCTTCCTTCTTTTCCTTCTTTTTTTTTATTCCTTCTTCCTTCCCTCTTTTTTCTTTTAAATACCCACAAATGAGACAATAAAACCTGCAGCTGTGAAAGGCCTGGAGTTAGACTCCAAGAGGGGTCATCTTAAAAACAGAGACAGTGAGACAAATTTCACTTTCCTACTCCAGAGGACTTGCGAGTTATTGTATATTTGTATTATTATTATTTTTAATTACTTCTACATCTTTTATTAGGTTTTTTTTTTATTTTTCTTCTTTCTGCTTAGTCTTCTTCACTTGGCTTGATAAATTACATTGTTTGACTCGTTTCCCCTGTTCTACGTTTCATCATGTATTTTTAATTTTGTCTTTCACTCCACTTGTGTTCCAATAGCACACTACTTTAGGTCATGTACATCCTATTCTTGTTATTTACACCACATAGATTCTGTCATATGATTGTTGCTCCATTACTATTGTAAATAATTGCTGTTCCATACAATTGTAAATACTACACAAAATCTCTACCGGATCTTAGCTGATATCACTGTCTTCCAGAACTTTATTACTGTCGTGGTTAACTCTATTCTCTCGCACACTACATCTATTTTCTATCCTATACTCTCACTTTACCTCATAATCTGACCTCCCACAAGCTCACTGCTTTCTAGATCTAACTCACAATACCTCCCCTCCCTAATAAGAGTAATATCTTTTTTCCACCCTTTCTAGAAAGTGGCTAGTTGGGTGAAATATCATGGTTAACATTATACATATCGAAAGTATCTCCCATCTCTTCTGCACAGGTTGCTACTTTAATTACCATAAAATACACTCCTGCTATCTTAAACCATTTTGCGTTCCCCCTCCAACTGATCACAAAAAAGAGTGCGTGGGACCTGTGAACACTAGTATACCTGCTGGAAGAGGAAAGCCACCAAAAAGGAACTACCAAGAGATAATAACAGAAGAAGGTAAAGGAGGGAGTGGAAGCCACACAAACCTCCACCAAGGACTGATCTCGAAATGCAACAAATGGTGGAGAAATTACCAAGAGCAAACAACTGAATAATAGCAAGAGAGAACATTCAAAACCTCATACAGACAAAAGAACCAGCTTCAACACAACTTATCCACTTTTCCTTCTTTTCCTTCTTTTTTTCCCACACCTGCACAACAGAATAAAAGATATGGTGGACAGAGTGACCCTCAGGTAACCAGTTGGAGTAAAGGATGAACCAAAGTCAGACCCAACAACAATCAAAACCCAAAGACATACAGAGAGCCAACATAAACAACAGCTCAAGACCAATGAGATAAGGAGTCCAAGGAGACTGCATCACTGAATCTCATAGGTCTTCTACCATAAAAGTTCACACCATTAACCCAGGGAGTAAGAACAGATCAATTTAAGAAGTAGACGCTAACAAGAATGGTCTCACAAACAATGAGAAGATAAAGAAACAAACCCCTCAGGAAAGGAGAGGAGGAAGCCTCAGAAAAAAAATGCTAAATGAAATAGAGGCAAATCAACTATCAGATATTGAGTTCAAAGCAATGGTCATCAGGAAGCTCAATAAGCTCACAGAGAATTACCAAAAACTACAGGGAAACTACAATGAACTCACCGCAAAACACATCAACATAAAAAAGGAAACAGAAGCTATCAACAAGGACCAAGAGGAAATGAAGAATACAATTTCTGAACTGAAGAACACAGTAGAAGGAATCAAAAGCAGGAACACAGTAGAAGGAATCCTTGCTGATTTGAAGCAGAGGATCAAATCAGCAAGTTGGAGGACAAGGTAGAAAAAAAAACACAGAAAGAGCAAGAAAAGTAAAAGAGACTCAGAAAGAATGAAGAGTGGTTAAGAGAAATGCAGGATAACATGAAACATAATCATATCTGTATAATAGAAATACCAGAGGGAGAAGAAGAGCAAGGGATAGAAAAACTGTTTGGAAAAGTAATGATGGAAAATTCCCTAATTAAATGAAAGAAAAAGTAACACAAATCCAGAAAACAGAGTCTGCCAATCAAGAGGAACCCAAAGAGGCCCACTTCAAGACACATCATACTTAAAATGGCAAATTCCAAGACAAAGAGAGAATCTTAAAGGCAGCAAGGGAAAAGCAGGAAGTAACATGCAAGGGAGCGCTGATAAGACTAGCAGCTAAATTCTCAATGGAAACACTCCAAGACAGAAGGGAATGACAAGAAAATACTCCAAGTAATGTAAACCAGAGGCCTGGAACAAAGACTATTTTATCCAGCAAGTCTCTCATTTACAATGGAAGGCCAAATAAGGAGCTTCCTGGACAAAAGAAGCCTCAAAGAATATACCTCCTCCAAACTAGGTGTGAAAGAGATACTAAAGGATCTGCTTTAAGAACAGGAAGAAAAACTATGAAAGAGAGAGGAACACAGGTATGAAAAAATGGCAATGAATAAGTACCTATCAATAATAACCTTAAATGTAAATGGATTAAATGGTCCAATCAAAAGAAATAGCTAAATGGATAAGAAATCATGACCCACACATATGTTGCCTACAAGAGACCCACCTCAGAACAAAAGACCTACACAGACTGGAAGTGAAGGGCTGGAAAAAAAAAATATTCCAAGCCAGTGGACAGGTAAAAAAAAAAAAAGCCCGCAGTACCAATACTCACATCAGACAAAAAAGACTTCAAAAAAACCAGCCATAAAAAGAGACCCAGAAGGTCCCTTCATGATATGCAAGGGAAGTACCCATCATAAAGACATAAGCATTATATATATATACACACTCAAAATAGGAGCACACAAATGTATAAAGAAAATCTTGGAGGACTTCAAGAAAGATGTTGTCAGCAACACAATTATAGTGGTGGATTTCAATACCCCACTGTCAAAAATGAATAGATCTTCCAAACAAAATATCAATAAAGATACTGTGGCATTGAACAATGCCCTAGATGAAATGGACTTAACTGATATATATAAAGCCTTTCATCCCAAAGAACAAAATACACATTCCTTTCAAATGCACATGGAACATTTTCAAAGATAGACTACATGACAGGACAAAAAGCAAGCATCAACAATTTCAAGAAAATTGAAATGATATCGAGCATTTTCTCTTACCACAAGGGACTGAAACTAGAAAACAACCCCAAGGAAAAAAATCAAAAACACTCAAACTGATGGAGATTGAACAGTATGCTATTAAACAATGAATGGGTCAAGAATGAGATTAGGGAAGAAATCAAAAAGTTTCTGGAAACAAACAAACAAAAAAAAAGAACTTACAACAACCCAAAACTTATGGGACACAGAAAAGGAAGTCCTGAGATACAAGTTCATAGTGATACAAGACTACCTAAAAAAGACAGAAACATTTCAAATAAACAACCTAACCCTACGCCTATTAAATCTTCAGAAACAATAACAAAGATAGCCCAGAGCAAGTACAAGGAAAAAAATAACCAAGATCAGAGCAGAATTAAATGACATAGAGACTAAAAGCACAATTCTAAGGATCAATAAATCAGGACCTGGTTTTTTGAAAACATAAGCAAAATCGACAAGCCTTTAAGCAGACTCATC